ATGTCTCTGACTTTCATTTCATTGCAGTTTTTGGTTTTTTTGGTGATGGGAAGAGATAAAAAAAAAAATCATGTCTCTGATGCTCTGTTATTTAGCCTTTATCAACTATGTCCTCACTGGCGGCCTATCTTTCTGCAGGGAAGACACTTCCATTGTAACTGGAGCCCAGTGTGGTCCTTCTATGTCCCATCTGTCGTCAGCAGGGTAATTTCAGCAAATGTGGTGATGAGTGTGAGATGATTTGCAGTAGGATTTGACTAAGAGTTTAATAAAATTTGCCTGTGGTCTCTCATCTTTCATCCTAGAAGTCAAGTGGTTCTGCCACATAGCTTGATGCTCATGTCCCTCATGACCTGTTCAGGCTTTCTGCTTTGCCCTTTGCCATTGAATTGATTTTCAGACTTGCTCAACTGATAGTAGTGTGCCAGTTCTTTGATCTTTGCCATTGCTACTGCCTTGCTTTTGCTTGTGGGGTACCTAAGCTGAGGTGCAAATTACAAGGTCATGGAGTGAAAGAGGAGGGAGGTGAAGCAGTGTATCGGTTCAATCTGGATGAATAGAGAGCTGTGGGAAGAGCAGGATCCAACAAGTCAGTGGAGCAGCATGGGGGAGAGCTCCTCTGGGAATTTACTTTCACTTCAAAAAATGTCTTTTTCCCCAGGTTGTGAAATTCTGGAATTGATGTACATGCTAAGAAGATAGTAGCAATTGTGATTTGTTCTATACCGTGTGAAAATGTTACGTAAATATATTGTGAAAATTCATAAAGTGCGTAATATTAATCGACCTATTAGATTATGGCTAAATTGTTTATATTTATTCTTTACTAGCTAAATGATATCTCTATACATTGTATTACTAAAAAATAAAAGGTAGATAAAAGATTATAAATAGGAAACTTTATATTATACAAAGCTTCCTAAGAAGCAGCAAATTAAGCAGCTCTGCATCTGTCTTGGTAGAAAATGGGGCAACCTATTTAAATTCTGTACTATTGTAGAAGGTTATATAGATACTCGATAAGTAAATCTTACTTTAGATGCTTTGGTTTCAAGACTACAAATAACAATTCTATCAAAACTAGTGCTGTAAACAATTTGTTGATAGATACCTGTTCAGTTTGGTATTTGCTTGCAAACTGTAATTAACAGTTCAGCATTTTTCTTTTAACTGCATGCTCTCTACCCATAAGTAGGCACAATTACCACTAATCAAGACCCCTAATCTCAAGCAATTATAAGCTCTTACATTGTTCTAATTGCACATTTAAAAATGATGTGTTTTTTCTTATATAATTATGTTATAATCCATACAATTATTAATTTCTGCTTTTCTTTTTATCTGATCAATGTTAATTTTGTGTGACCTCACAATGTGTTATCTGAAAAATGCCTTTGAGCCATGCAATTTTTGCCATTAATTTATGGTTATGTTTTGTCTTCAGTGGGAAACGATACAGTGCAACAGGTTTGCAGGGCTGTGCTTTCTCTCAGCCATCTATGAACTCAATAATTTGTTGTAAACTAGGAACTTGTTAGTGAAACAAAAGTGCAATTGTACATTTAAATCATCTACTATTTGTAAACCCACATGCTTGCTCTTTGAATATTATTTAGGTTAGCACAGGCTGGACCTTAAGCTTATAAAAGGGGTTTGTTTTTTTCAGTTGTTAAGTGGAACTTCTATGCAGACAGGTAGACTTTCTGGATCAGCTTTCCAGAAAGTGAAAATGAAGGCGGTTCAGTACTGCAAATCTTGGGGGCAAGACGTAAAAGGTCATCATGTAGATGTTCACTAGTCGATGTTGGTCTGACTTGTTGCTATATAGTTCTTATGCACACATTTTGTATGCAAGGGCTTTGGATGAGTGCATTTTGAACAAATCATCATCAATCTGATGATTCATCTCAGGAACCGCATGCAGCACTTACATCTGTAATTGGGGTAATTGCAAACCTCTCATTCTTACAGATAGAAATTCTTCCTCTTATAATTCTAAAATCAGATCCCAGATCTTTTACTGTGGTAGCTGAGACCTACACTGACTTGTATTTATTTCTCTATTCTTATTTGTTACATCATTAAAAGTAGCAGATGATTTGGTGACCTTTCCAACCTGTGTCTGACCTTCATGATTCACTTGTGCGGGTAATTGGCTGTTGAAATTACTGTGCTTTTCTCTTTGACATTATTTAAACAATGGTTTAAATGGAGTGACACAGATTGCATTGTAAATGGTAGCCACATTGTTGGGGACAATGTGTTTTTCATTATCTATTGTCAGAAAAGAATGTTAAGGGGGGTGGGGGGCTCTATCTTTTCTGAAGGATCTTGACATTCATGGAGAGGAGGTGTTGGAGATTTTGCTCTGTCATAAATTGCCCAGCTTTCTTCCTGTAGTAGAGTGTATGTTTCTGAAACCTTTCTACGGCTGCAGTGTATTGCAGTGGGTTCATTTCATTGTTCCTTGGAAAAGAAGGCACACAGCTAGCTATTTCTATGCAGAACAGGTCAATGTTTAATATGCTAATGTATCTACCCAATATTAAAGCCAAGGATTTTTGCAGCCTAATATGTCTTTAATAGTAATAAAGTGGTTAGCTAATGATGAATTAAGGGTTGTAAGTTTGGGGATTTTTTTTTTTTTAAATAAAAAATTAATGTAGGCAGGAGAAACTTTTCTTGCCGAGAAGATTGTCATTCCAGAGCATAGTAGCTGCATTTTGCAATGGAAGTTGCTGTAGGACTCCTCACCTCATTATAATCAAAATGAAGGAGCAAATTCTGTTTTTCCTTAGGGTTCATGTAGCTGGACAGTAACGGGACAGGTGGGGACTCCATCTTACCTTTGCTGGCATAGAGCTATACGTCCCAAGATAGTGAACCCCTAGGTCTCACTGTTCGCCAGAGAGCAAGATACAGTTGTATGCACACAAGTAGGGTGGCCTGGAAATCTACAAGTAGGGGTTTGCTTGTGACCCTCTTCCTGGTCTGTCATCTGTTTTCAGCGCTCTACTGACTGGCAGAAGAAGGATGTTTGTGGACGCCTTGCGCTGCTGCAGTGTCCTGCCAGTGGAGCTTTGCCGTTTTGGAGGTCCTGGGTTTAGTTTCTCTTAGGGAACCTGGTAAAAGTCCATGTAAGTAGGGCCTGAGGTAGCAATATTGTAGGGTTGTGTTTGCATCTGCATAACAGAGCAACGTGGTTAGGGAAAGGTAACGTTGTTCAAATGCAAAATGCTCATGGATTAAGGAGCGTTTATAGCAAATCTGTTTTTTAAAGCATTTCTTCGTTCTTCAGTACTCTTTGTGTCAGACTTTCTGGTATGGTTTAGCTCAGGCACAAGTTAAGGTTAAAGAGAGAAATAATTTCTGGTCACTGTATGCCTGTTCGTACTGTCCACTTTTTTTTTTTTTAAACTGAATTTGCGCATTTTTATATATATTTTTATACCTGTCTGTACGAATTTCCTGTTGGAAAAGAGGAGAGCTGGTCTTTATAGGAACTCATAAAAAGAAAGGAAGTTGGAATTCTGCAGAGAATCAGCAGCGTCAAGGGCTTGAGCAAGTCTAAATTTAAATTGCACCTCTTGATGATCAGGGAAAAGACAGTCTTGTAAGTTTCTCTTGCACATTATTGAAGGTTTTTTGTCGGCCTCAAAACCCTAAAGCATCTTAGTTGGCTTAAAGATATCTGCCTATAACACTGACCTGAATAAATTGCTGCATTCTCAAAGGAATGAATGGGATGAGGAAGTAATTTTTTTTTTTTTTTTAAAGAGGGAGTGAGGAAGGAAATCAACAGCAAAAGGGTATATATAGATAAAGCAAAATATTATCTTATTTTTTGTAAATGTGGCTTTTCAATTATTTATTTTTATCTTGAGTGGAAGAGATATGATACTGACAATTTGGTGCCTGTTTTGGGGGGCAGGAAATGATAAAGAGGAAGAACTTCCTCAGCAAGCCAGAGCACTTACTGGTGGTTATCGCACATCTGCCGTCTGACTGTTCTCTCCCTCTACAGCCAAACTCTCGTATATCACTGACCTGATTCACAACACAGGAAAACTCCCCTGGAGGCTTCCTGTCCTTCCCTTTCCTTCAGGGCTGGATGGGCTGGAAAAGCCTCAGCCCCAGCCTCTGCAAACCATCAAAACACGACCATTGAGACTGCCACCAGCCTGCTGTTCGGTCTTGGGCTTCGGCAGGCAGACCTTCTCAAGGCCTGTGTGTTTTCGTCTGCTTCTCTCCACAGCTGGAAGTACTGCCTTTTTTTCTTTCTCGTGTTTATTCTTAAACCCATCTTGATGAACCAGCTGGCTTCATCACTGTGTTGAATGAAGTCAGAAGGGCTGTGCAGCAGTCTGCCTTTGAGGGCTCTAGCTCTTGCCTCAGGCCTTGCTGTTCTTCTGCCTGAAGAATACAAAACATAATGCAAGTTTTTATGTATTATTAAACTTATATCTATAAATCACTGACCCATGGTAGCTGTTTATTACATATTCCATCTTCTACTTTGATGCATTGTTCTTGTCACACTGAGGTGGGTAATGATGACTCAGCTTACTACTGTGGTAATGCACTTAAAGCTTGGAAATCTGTCACTGATGGCACTTCAACACAGGCACTATAAACCAGAGATGAAATTTTACAGTATTTGCTGTCAAGGTATTTGTCTTAAAATGCTTGTGTTTTCTATTGTGGTTTTGTAAGGTTTTGGATACTACTGAATTGTTCGATGGACAATAACAAATAGTTGTGTTTCAGGAACTCTGTGTTGCAGGACTTGCCATCACAAAAGTAGGTGATGGTCCTCAATTTGTAGTGCTGAAGGTGACCTATAAAATGCTTGTGCTCATCAGGCCTTCCTAACAAAGCACCGATATTGCATGCCTTTCTGTGGGCCTGCTATTTCCAGTCTTAAAGCACAGTGGAACACAGACTAATCATCACAACTCATTATGTATTATATCTGTTATTTTTCTTCTTTTTTTTTACAGCCCTTCTGTATGCAACCATTTTTGGTAATGTGACAACCATATTTCAGCAAATGTATGCTAATACAAACAGGTATCATGAAATGCTGAACAGTGTTCGGGACTTTCTAAAGCTCTATCAGGTCCCTAAAGGACTGAGTGAACGTGTGATGGATTACATCGTTTCCACCTGGTCAATGTCCAGAGGAATAGATACTGAAAAGGTAAGTAAATTAAACTGCAAGGAAAGAAGTCACATCCTGAAAGTGTTTCATTAAAATAAACAGGAGGTACTTTCTTAGTAAAGAAGACAAATATTCTTTAAATAGTTCCAAGTAGTAGCTTCCCTTAATTTTAAACTTTCAGATTTTTTATTTTAATTTTAAACAGATTTTCAGCTATTCTGTCATACTGACATATGCTAGTGGTAAAAGTATGTTTGTTTTGCTGGTGATATGGCATGAAATAGTATAAAAATGATGAAGGAAGGAGCTTAGTTTTAAGTAAATAAAGAAGATAATTAAATAAAAAATTGCAAGTTCTAGCACAACCTCAGAATTTGTTTGAATGAGATTTTTTTTTGCAATGTTTCTGTTGTGTGAGGTTGGTTGCAGCTCTGTGGGCCTGAATACAAAGTAAAATTTGTTTTGTCTTTGTAGAATTTGAAAGTAATATTCTGTGTGCAGGTTAAAGATTTTAATGAAAGTTGGAAGTCATTACTGTACTAATAATGTATTGTTTGAAATCTGCCTTGTGGGAGGCAAATGTTATCATCCTAATTCATTGAATTTACAAGTAAATTCCCATCGCATCTTTTAAAATAACGAATGGCCCTTCACCAGAACAAATGTGCAAAAGCAACTATTTGCTGTTTTCGTATTAGTTGCCAGCTTTTATGGAGATAGATACCGTTTTTCTTCTGCTTGTAAAGCAATGTGGTTTGTGGGATGGTTCGTTCAGGAAATCATACTGATGCTCTGGTCACCAGCCTTCTGGTTGTCAGCTTAATTTAGTATTCTAAGCTGTAGATGATGCAGTTGAAGAGCAAACAGTCTCATTTCTGTCTAGCTGTTAAAGCATTGTTATGAGAGGGTAGAACAGATGTGGCCTTGCGCTGGGCTGTCTGGAGACCAATAGGTACACAGGGTACTGTTTGCCTTTCCTAAATGACCTTCAGTGTAACTGTTTGCTTTCCTAAATGGCCTTCAGTGTATCTGCCATTTAGATCCCAGACCATGATTCTGGGGAGCACTGTCTGTCCTACTAGCTTTCAGAAAGAAATGGTATTTTGGTATTGCATAGTGCTGATTAGAAGCTGCTCTACCTGTTCCCTTACAAAATATCTTTGTGCAGCATTACGGGTTTGAGGTACATACATTTGGGGAAGGTGAAGAGAAAACATCTGAGGATATATAGTGTAATGAATGCTGGTGCTTTCATTCACCCCCCAGTACAAGCTTCTCTCGTAATTTTAACAAAGCAAAAAGAAAAAAACTGCTATGTAAAACATGTTTGTTTTAGCTTATCTTCAAAGTTCATTCTTTGCTTCCTCTGATAAGGAGAGAAATGCTTTAAGAATGCCTTTGGAGACAGCGGGATAACCAAACCAAGCACAACTCACTGTAGCCTTTGAGAATTATCTTAATGAACAGGAAAAAAAATCTCCAATTATTAGGACATCAAAGAGCTTAATATGGTGATGTTTTCAATAGCTGGTGTATTCATAGCTGAACTGCCAGTAGTAATGACTGTAAAACCAAGAAATCAGCTTTCATCTGCATAGCAGAAGCTAGCAGATATAAGACCGACTGATGGCTGTGCCAATCCTTAAGCTCTCAGGTCTGAGCTCCATTGGTTTCATGCCTGTGTATAACTTCTAGGATGTCATGCAATGAATAAAACATGTATTACTCCTGTGACAGAACAGTGGTAGTTGTGCTGCTGTGTAATGCAATGCAGCTTTCTACAGATGAGGCAGATACTCAAAGATGAACTTAGCACAGAATCAATCTTCTCACTGTTTTGTAGGCCACAAATTTGTCAGTTCAGTGTTAACTGCAGGCATGCCAAGGAGTGAATAATCAGCTAAAAGCAAAGTCTGTAAGTCTGGAAAATGCCAGTATAACAAAATTTAACCAAGAGCTGCTGAAAGATTCTAAAATTAATTCATGAAAATATGTTTCTTACCTCCCATACAAATGAAAGTCTTCTGCCATTTGTTTGTAACTCCCAAATGTCTTTAATCCTTAATTTTTGTGAAGTCTGAAGACAACTTCTCTAAATGGAGAATGGAAAACGAGTTAACTCTCTTAGGCTGGGAAACCAAGGGTTTTTAGGATAAGAGCCTCGTTTTAAATATTCTCTCGTGTATTTAGGTTTTCTTACTACTGTTTCTATTACAACCACCCTTTTTGTGCATGGTATTCAAGTAACTGTGAAGTGCATGTGTGCGTAATTCCAGTAGCAAAGTTTGGCAAGCATCTGCAAATACAGAATGTTTTTGTTGCCAGAGGAAATGAGATAATTGCAAAGACGGCTATGGCCACTGCCTGTGTTCCCATGTTAAATGCTGGTCGTGCTGCCCCAACCCGTCTCTGTGAGCCTGGAAAACTGAGAACTGGCAGGGTGGGCCGGGGGGCCCCCTGG